ATATATATATATATATATCCCATAATAATATTTTAGATACATGCGTCTTATATTATTTTTGTGACCGAGATAGAACATGAAATGATAGCCCATGCCTTTTGTGCCATAGCCCATGTCTGAAAGCTCATCAAATGCAAGACAAGAACACTGCACGACCACCCATGCTTTATTACACACTATTATTGTCTTCCAAATTTCTTTTGTTCACGATAAGGAAACATATCAACAAAGAAAAAGAACTATACGTACCTCCAAAAATAAAAATAAAAATTATATGTTTTCATTTTTTTAACGAACCGTTAGATTCTATTGACATGAAAAATATGTCAAAATTTTGAAAAAGAGAAAAAAACAAAGATCACATAATATTCTAAATTCACATAAATTGCAACCTTTAAAACTTTAACCAATATAAATGATAATTTGGTGGGATAACCCCAGCAAATTAAAATTAATATAAAATAATCTATTTTAAAAGAGTTTAGTAAAAAAATTGTAATTTTCAAACTTTTTTGTGTTATTTCATTAGTTTTGCATTTTGATAATTTTAGAAAAATGGCTTTCAAACAATTTTTAAGGATTACTTTGAGAAAAATTTGTATTGCTTCAACTATTATCAGAATAGCTTGGAAGTACCTACAAATTCAATTATTTTACAGCAAGAATTGAATATTTAAATTGAGAAAGAAACGTAAATTTAGACAATATTCCAATCCAACTCAATAACATCTACTAATGATAAAAAAAATGTATGATATAACAATAATAGTTAAAAATGTTTCAAATTTAATTAATAGAATTTTAAAAAATAATAAATATAAAAAATGAATAACATTCTTAATAGCGGATATTGTCGTATCGGGAGAAAAAGGAAACATTCATGTTACATATTCAGTTTCCTTTTCTTCTTGATACTAGGTTTTCCAGATCTATGTTCTTGTTCTTGTATATTACAGCATGTCAGTGTTCTTTTCCAATACACGAAATTATTCTTTCATCTCTCGGATCTGTACCGTGACATGGCATCAGAGCCTGGTTTCGATCCAGGGGACCTGTGGGTTATGGGCCCACCACGCTTCCGCTGCGCTCCCAACGCAAGAAACCGGCTTGCTTGGTGCTAAGCCTTCATCTTTTCCGCTCGACCAGAACCACCGACTAGCCATCTCGAAGAGTGATGTGCTGCCCGATCCTGAACCCTATCGACGACTCATCGGACGCTTGTTGTACTTGCTTGCGACTCGGCCTGATATAACATATGCTGTCCATACTTTATCTCAGTTTATGCAGGAGCCTCGGGTCGATCATTGGGACGCTGCACTACGGGTGGTTCGATATTTGAAGCGCAATCCCGGACAAGGGATTCTATTACGTGCCGACTCTGATCTCCGCCTTTATGGTTGGTGTGATTCCGATTGGGCAGGTTGTCCCAAGACTCGCAAATCTTTGTCAGGTTGGATTATTCAGCTCGGTACTTCACCGATATCTTGGAAGTCAAAGAAACAAAACACGATCTCTCTTTCCTCCGCTGAAGCTGAATATCGAGCGATGGCGGTTACTACGTGTGAATTGCTCTGGCTAAAGGGTCTTCTGCACTCTCTTGGTGTCACTCATTCTGAACCGATGCTTCTTCATTGTGATAGCCAAGCGGCTCTCCATATAGCTGCCAACGATGTTTTCCATGATCGCACGAAGCATATCGAAGTCGCTTGTCATTTTTTTCGCCATCATATCTCTTCTCATGCCATTGTTACTCGCCATGTCTCAACATTACAACAACTTGCAGATATATTCACGAAGGCCCTCGGCAAGAAGGAATTCGACGTTTTTTTAGCCAAGTTGGGCATCCATAATCTGTATGCTCCGACTTGAGGGGGGTAATAGCGGATATTGTCGTATCGGGAGAAAATGAAACATTCATGTTACATATTCAGTTTCCTTTTCTTCTTGATACTAGGTTTTCCAGATCTATGTTCTTGTTCTTGTATATTACAGCATGTCAGTGTTCTTTTCCAATACACGAAATTATTCTTTCATCTCTCGGATCTGTACTGTGACAATTCTAATGTAAAAACAGATTAAATAATTTTTAAACTAAAATCTGAGAGTTTGAATGAAAAATAATCGATGGAATATGTAAATAACCATCCACGCATAGTCGGTCTTTTTGTCTTGCAATCCCCAATCTATTGTCCTTTCTTTTCAATATTTTGGCACTATATATATATATATATATCCCATAATAATATTTTAGATACATGCGTCTTATATTATTTTTGTGACCGAGATAGAACATGAAATGATAGCCCATGCCTTTTGTGCCATAGCCCATGTCTGAAAGCTCATCAAATGCAAGACAAGAACACTGCACGACCACCCATGCTTTATTACACACCATTATTGTCTCCCAAACTTCTTTTGTTAACGATAAGGAAACATATCAACAAAGAAAAAGAACTATACGTACCTCCAAAAATAAAAATAAAAATTATATGTTTTCATTTTTTTAACGAACCGTTAGATTCTATTGACATGAAAAATATGTCAAAATTTTGAAAAAGAGAAAAAAACAAAGATCACATAATATTCTAAATTCACATAAATTGCAACCTTTAAAACTTTAACCAATAATATTTCAAACAATATGTCTAAATGTCTAAATGTGGTTTATTGATCTTACATTTACATATCTTTAATTTTATCACTAATATTCTAAATTCACATAAATTGCAACCTTTAAAACTTTAACCAATATAAATGATAATTTGGTGGGATAACCCCAGCAAATTAAAATTAATATAAAATAATCTATTTTAAAAGAGTTTAGTAAAAAAATTGTAATTTTCAAACTTTTTTGTGTTATTTCATTAGTTTTGCATTTTGATAATTTTAGAAAAATGGCTTTCAAACAATTTTTAAGGATTACTTTGAGAAAAATTTGTATTGCTTCAACTATTATCAGAATAGCTTGGAAGTACCTACAAATTCAATTATTTTACAGCAAGAATTGAATATTTAAATTGAGAAAGAAACGTAAATTTAGACAATATTCTTCAAGTTCTACAAATTATTAAAATTTCAAAAACTATAGGTTAATAATTCGTATATTTTCTGACCCTTTGTTCGTTCAACCATGGCATAAGGTCTTCTAAGTATGATTTCACTATGGTTCAATAAGAAAATTAAATGAAACTGTATCCGTTCTTGGTTACAAGAGAATAAAGCGAAGAAATCAAATTGAAGGGGCAAAATCTCTAGCTAAATGCCGTCGTTATTCCGCGTAATCATCTCCGAGTTCGCGAAGACCTTTCAGACGATGGTAAGCACCGAGAAACTTCAAGCTTTCGTCGCGAAGACCCACCTTGCTCGTGACCCTTTCTTCGCAACGAAGCTTGTCAGGCTCTATACCTTAAACGGTGATCTTCACTCTGCTCGCAAAGTGTTCGATGAAACTCCCCAGAAAAGTGTTTTCCTTTGGAACTCCATTATTCGAGCTTACTCACAAGCTCGTCAAATGGGTGATGCAGTTTCGCTGTTCTACGAGATGCTGGGATCTGATACGATGCCTGATAACTTCACGTACGCGTGTTTGGTTCGTGGGTTTTCGGAGAGTTTCGATTCCAAGGGGCTGAGACGTGTTCATGGCGGCGTGATTGTTTCCGGTCTTGGATTCGATCATATTTGCGGCAGTGCAGTTGTGACAGCTTACTCGAAACTCTGTCTTGTTGGTGAAGCAACTAAGGTATTTCATTCGATACCGGACCCAGATGTCGTTCTTTGGAATGCAATGATTTCTGGTTATGGAAGCTGCGGATTCTGGGATAAAGGAATCAGTTTGTTTAGTTTGATGCTGCATCTTGGAAAAAGACCGGATTTTTACACCATGGCAGGCTTGACGGCCGGTTTATCGAATTGTGGTTTGTTAATCATTGGTCAATCTGTCCATGGATTCTGTTTGAAAGTTAATCTAGATTATGAAGTTCATGTCGGTAGTGCGCTAGTAAGCATGTATTCTAGATGTAAGTGCATTGATTCGGCTTACCGCATGTTCCTCACTGTCCCCGAGCCGGATTTGGTTGCATGGTCTTCCTTGATAACAGGTTTTTCGAGATGCATGAATCACAAGGAGGCATTGTTTTGGTTTAGCAAGTTAAACATGAGTTGTAAGAAGAAGCCTGATTGTATATTAGTGGCTTGTGTATTAGGGTCCTGTGCAGAATTATCAAATCCAATGCAGGGGAAAGAGGTACACGGTCATGTTCTTCGGCAAGGATTAGAACTGGATATAATGGTTTGCACTTCTCTGATAGATTTCTACTCAAAATGTGGTTCCCTAGATTCTGCTATCAATGTTTTTGCTGGAATGGCAGAGAAAAATGTTGTTTCTTTTAATGCCATTATTCTGGGTCTTGGCTTACATGGATTTGCCTCCATTGCATTTGAAAAGTTTAAGGATATGCTCGAGATGGGAATACGTCCTGACGAGGGTACTTTCTCGGCTCTCCTGTGTACTTGTTGCCACTCGGGCCTACTGGATAAAGGCCGTGAGTTCTTGAGGATAATGAGAAATGAGTTCGGTCTTGAGCCTCGGCCAGAGCATCATGTTTACATGGTAAAGCTTCTGGGAATGGAAGGGAAATTGGAAGAAGCATTTGGATTCGTCTCATCTTTGCAGGAACCGATTGATTCTGGCATCTGGGGAGCGCTCTTGGCGTGTTGTGAATCTCATGGGGATGCTCATTTGGCTGAAGTTGTAGCCGAGAAGCTTTTTGAAAGTGATCCGGAGAAAAGCGCTTATAAAGTCATGCTTTCTAATGTGTACGCGAGACACGGGAGGTGGGATGAGGTCAAAATACTGAGAGACGGAATATCAGAAAGCAAAGAAGGTAAAGTTCCGGGGATTAGCTGGGTTTAATTGCATGGAAACACAGTGATCAGTGCACAGAGTCTCCAAATCTGTGATTACTTGTGAGATGCAGCAGAAGATTCACTTGATAGTTGCGGAGCAGGCGTTTCCTCCGGAGTTTCCTCATTCGCAGCCGATGATGGCGTTCTATCATGGCATCTCGGGCTCACAGAACGTTTAAGGCCAAGCCTTCGTGGACAATTTTTCATGTTCAGCATTCGTTTCATGCATCTGAACTGGTTCGGATTGCCGATTGGAAAAACTGCTTCCTTTCCCGGACCATTTCTCTGCTGATGAGCTGCAGGAGCAATGCGAGTACCGGAAAAAGCGCGAAGAATGGATAATCACAAAGTCATTTAGGGGGTGACTGGTTGCAACGCCACCAACCGCAAACGGAGCAGTTGCGATTTCTGGCGGTTGGTGGCGGTTGCGAAACTGATTGGTCATACCGCAGACAAACGCTACCGCAGGCAAACGCTACCGCAACCAAACTTCAAAAATCAAAACGCTGGCTTTTGGATGCGTTTCGGTAGCGTTTCCATGCGTTTAAATCAAATGACCAAAATATCCTTGTAACAATTAAAAAGAAGAAGCTAAAACTCTCTTCATGCTCTCTCGTTTGAAATCCCTCATCTTCATCTCATCAAACCATCTCTTTTGTGTTCTTCGATTAAGGTTTTTCTTCGTCGGAGTTCATCGGAACTCACCGGAATTCATCATCTCTATCGTCTTTCGGTGTATGTTTTATTTTATTGTCTTTCCTCTTTTCTGGTTTCTTCGGATTTTGTGTGAATAAAACGATGTTCATCATCTTCGATTCAAGAACAAAGAACTGACAAGATTCTACCGATATCCAAAACAAACAATGGGTTCTGTTTTTTTTCTTCATAAGTGATCAGATTTAGATCAGGTTTTATCGTATTTTCTCGATCCGAAATCAAACATGAGGCCTAAAACCCAATAAACCTTCGATCTGAAACTTATCTTTGTGTGGCTCCTTGTTACCTTCTTCCTCAAGATGATTGATATTCAAGTTTGTATTGTGGAATGAAGTTTGTTGGATAATGGCAATCTCTATCATGTCCTGAATGTGTTCGGTGAAATGCCTGAACGAGATGTCGTTATCTATAAAGTGATGATAAAAGGCTTGTCCTTGTTTGATTGTCTTGTGGGTCTGTTTATTTACCAAAGTGTTTCAATTGAATTGATTAACGAGGTGTGAAACATATTAATTGATTTCTTTTTGCATGATGTTTTCATCCTTGAAATGACTTCGGGTTTCCATGTTATAAAAAAACAATTTTTGCTAAATCATCGGACTCCTTGGAAGATTTCTCTGATTAGAAATGAAGAAACAATCTTTAACTTGGCTCTAGGGTCTTTCGGAAAACGGTTCGGGTTCGGAACGAGAACATATCGGTTTAGTTTTTTCGATTTTACAAAAATATATACCAATCGGTTTTTATATTATATTCGGTTCGCTTCGGATTCGGTACCGGTTTGATTCGGTTCCGGTTTTTATTAAAAAAATATAGTTTTCATTTAAAAAATTTCGGTTTTTCGGGATTTTTTAAAGTTCGGTTCGGTTCACTTCTGGAAAATTCGGTTCTCTAAAAATAATACCGTTCGGGAATTTAGAACAATTCGGATAAAAAAAATACCATTTTTTCGATTGGGACGAAACGTCGGACCTAAGAAAAACCGTGTAAGAAGCATTTAATGCTTCCTCAAATACTAATGTATGTTATCCGATCGAAGATGTGGACAGTTTCTAATCTCTTTCTATTAATTTAATCTCTTAATCTTAATTAGTTCTGCACAAACTTATTGTTCGTATCATTGAATTTTGACTTGTAGATTAATTATAGCAGTTTTTTTTTTTAAGTTCTTGGGAGATGGGTTTGAACGGAATCTTAGATGCTTCTTAAATGCCGGAGAATCTTTTATCAAATAAATAAATTCCTAGATCTAAAAACTTTGATTTTGGCAACGTCAACAGTAGGATGAAATATAAAACAGTTATGTACATGTCTGAAATATACAATAGAAATTGATTACAAATATATTAAATGTTTCGATTACAGCATATACAGATATAGTTTATTACTTTTCACGTTGAAAGTTTGCGGTATGGGTATAAATTACAATAAAAATATCTAATTATAATAACAAGTACTCCAACTACTAAGTGTAAATGTATCCATCAACCCCTCGTACTATTAGCTGTAGATTTTTTTTTAACCGAACCAAAATTTTTGGAGAATTAACATTTTCGTTTTGGAATTTCTAAAAACAAAATTTGGGAGGAAAATATTACGATTTTTTTTTGTTAAAGTTAAATGCTTTTAACCATCCATCTTCGGCTTTTGCATTCGAAGTCATAATAAAAGGGAAACATTAATGCAGACTTTGGGACGAACAAAAAAAGGCAGCTTTTGATAAAAAGAAGATACAAAACATTAATCTCGTGAATTTAAATTGAAATTTCTTACCTTAAGTTTACCATTAGGGGGAAATTTTCTTACCCCTTCGAGGGGGAAAAAAAACGATTCACTCCTCGTGCACGTGCAGTCGCTCGCTCGCCCCTTGCCCCTCGCGGCTTCTCGATTACAAACATTAAATCAAATGAATTCAAATTAAAATCAAATATTTTTTTAGAAATGATTATATTAAGTGAAAAACTAAATGCGAACTGTATCTATCTCATATACAAATCGAAAGGATATAGTTTTTATAAATTCGAAAAAAAAGTTACTTCATTTTTGGTATAAGGATACATCACAAGATGCTTCATTCTGCCCAATATTACACAACAACAAAAGAAAGAACCAAACCCTAATCGGTTTAAAAAAATATATATATCAAATGGAAAATGCAATTGAAAAATAGAAAATAACCCAACACCCAAAAATCTCTAAAACCCTAGAAACCAGAGAGCGAGAGGAACCATGCGCAAACACATCATACATATATATATATATATCTTTGTGGTTAGACATTATATATTATCAAGGACACCTAGGGTTTCTGCCGGGACCTCCGTAGTAAAAATAAGTCCCCCAAACATTGTTCTTGCCTTGTCTAATGTCGTAACAAGTAGGATGATCAGCCAAGACATGGAGATTGTTTAGAGCCAACAGATTGTTGTCCCAATCGACGACTTGTAGGCTCCTAAAGTACGCGGCTTTGGCGAAACCTTCGTCTGCGAAGTGGCCGCTACCCATCTGAGTCGCCGTGTGGGCGCCGCCGCTTGATCGGCTGTTGACGATTTCGCCCCCGAACTGAACCATACTCGCGTGGCTCCTCAAGTGGCTGAACAAGAAGCCAGGCCAATAGCCAACTAGTAGCCCATTCCCTAGTTCAAGCCACCAATGCCCATGTTTTGGATCCTAACGAGTAAACTCAATGTAAGACATGATAGTTACAAAAGAATCTATACACGTCATAAATATTTAATTCCGCCATTAATTTCGTATATTGCATTCAATGCACCCACCAAATATTTCATTTTAACGTATAAAAATATAGTTGTAACTTTTAGGCCATTTAATACATGACTCGATGTTTGTTTCTATCTCTATAAAAGAAGAAAGAAAACCACACGACTTATTGGCAAATGTTTTTCATGCTTAAATTTTATTAATTAACTATACGCCTATAATTCAATTTATCGTTCCACCAAAACTTTCGTACTCCTCTTCCTATAAAATTGTTTATTCTCTACTCTACTTAGACTTTTAGTAACATCGACACTCTGGACTAACTTCTTTATCCACACTCGTTTACGATGTGGGAACTATTGTCTATTTAGTACTATACCTGGACGCCAACATGACACATCACATTCGGATTATGCCCTACGTTCTTGCCTATTTTTCACTACATCCGATATAACCCGTCGTAAATAGAGGACGCACCAATGTTTATATCATTAGAAAATAGGACATTTGGTTTTAGTTTTGTTGGTTGGCAACTTACCACAAAATCTCCTCCTTTTTTATTTGGGTTTGGAATGGAAGAATGAATTTGTGTTGACAGAGTTAATCCTAAAAAAAGAATATCTAAAAAAATCACTCTTTTAATATGGGTTTTAAAAATCTTAGATTTTTTATTACGTGCGGACATTTCGAACTGAAGTAAACTCCAAAGACTTGGACAAAAGCAACGATTAAAGCGTTCACGTGTTTCGAATTTCCCATGTTTTCATTGAACATTCGAAAAATTCTTGTCCCCGATTCTTAAATATAAAAGTCAGTCCACATAAAGGAACCATGTTAATTTCGTGGAGCTTTTTTTTTTAACAAGCCTAATAAATTAATTTTAAGTTGAATAAATAATAATAATGATTATTTAACAAAAATAAATAAATAATAATAATGATGATGATTACAGAAATTGGAAGCCAACCATCATTAGGTGACTGAGGAAGACAAAAAAAATATATATCTCAAAGACGGTCGAATATGATGAGCACAATAATTAGATTCATTTCGAGATTTTATTTGGATTTTGGTTCAATTATATATATATATATATATATATATAACATATAATGGATTTGTGATTTATGAATGTATATACCCCTAATTTTTTGTGCTTTTTTAAATATATTTAATGTATAGAACGTTATTGTTTTTTTTTTTTATTGAAGTAGACATTAATTATTGAATTAGGGGAATGATTTAATGATAAAAGACCGACCTTCCAAATCATTAAACCGATGTCGAACTGGCTTCCATCATAGGAGGACCTTGGAGAGATGGCAGCCCCGATTGCAATTTTGCTGTTGGTTTGTACAAAGCCTGAGCACAGTAAATTGTAGCAACCCGTTGTTTGGTATGCATCCGTCTGCAAAATTTCAAGAATTTTATTATTTATTTTATAAAAAAATGAAATATAAAATTTGTAAAAACATTAAATGGAAATGGTCTTACAGTCCAATATGTGAAGAATCTCGGGTAATTATCACCATACAGCTCAGGACTAACCTGCAAAGTCATTCAATGCCGCATAATCACCAACCAAATTTATATTTTTGGACCCACTGCCATTACAATGCATTCTCTCTTTATCTTTGGTAATTATCTCTATTATATGAGATCCCCACATCCATATATGTAAAAAAATCATGCGGTATAGAATATCTGAAAAATGATTATCACTTAACTCGGATTATGCCGATATTACTACAGATTTATATGATTTTCTTTTCACCCGTATATGGAATCGGACCAAATATTTAATTTCAAACATCATAAAAAACGATACAAAAAACATTTAGTTTCGAAATCTATGGAAATTATTAGAGATTTGTATGTTAGTTTTTCTACTGCCGTAAATGAAACCGGACTAAGGTTTGATTTCAAACATTATGAAACATAACAATTAAGAATATTTAATTCGAATTCTATTGAAATTATTAGAGATTTATTATATGACATTTTTCTACGTTCTCGTACGAGATTGATAAAGAATTTAATTTTAAACATCATAACTCTTGAGGGAGGATACTAAGAACCATGGATTCCAATTTGATCGAAATTATTAAAGATTTATTATACCATATGGAATCCGACCAAGAATATAATTTCAAACATCATAGCTATTGAGAATAACACTAAAATCATTTAATTCAATTTATGTTGGGGGTAATGGAGATTTATGGGATCGATATTCCTTTAAATCCGAATTTAAAAGACCAAAAATTGGAATACCCAACATTGTAAGAAAAAAAAACATATTTGTGTGTGTATATGCGTACGGACCTGCCATCCAGCTTCAATGGTGTTGAGGTCGTGTCCAAAGGAACCAGAGATGACCCAAATCTGAGACAAACTGAACTCGTAAGCATCGGTGACACGTGGCGTCCACACGTTAATGCTCGCTTTTGCTCCGTAGTATTCCTCTCCGTTCACAAACACCACCGCGTGCTGCATGTCATTTCATTGGCCCCAAACTCACTATATCGTTTTAATTACATTAAAAAAAATATGGACCACCAGTGTAAATGACCATATACGTAAAAATATTTCAATGTATACATATATACAAAATAAGATATATAAATTTGGTAACCGAAAATCTACATCGTACCAATACTCTTGTGTCGTTTTATATAAACGGTTGTGATATATATGAAGAATACTTTTGTGTATAAAGAAAATAAAAGTTAAAAAGTAGTTGATAATCTCTTTAATATGAAGCAGAAGGGTTGAAGAAACTAACCTCGTGGCCGCCGCCGGCGGAATCTCTTCTGATGGGTTTTCTCAGTTTCCGACCAAACCGCCGGAGTGATTTTGCCCTAAAGACGTCGGTCTTTGTTGTTCTTCGTATCGGTACCGAACCTTCAGGGCATGTTTCACCCGACAATCTCCATGGCTGATAGAAGCTCTCATCCTCTGTTCTGTTTCTTGTTCTTGGCCTCTCCGGTGGATCCTGTCTCCATTGTTATACACACTTTTCAACAGTTGTGCGATGTATACAACGAGGAAATGACATGGATTAAGGAAGAAAACGTGAAACTACCAGTGGTTTTTGCCCTTTTAGCTGAGGATGATCGAAAGCTGGTTGCAGATGAGAAAACACGCAGTCTATTACATCTCCATCTGGGCTCTGCAGTCGTCGGCAAGAGAGCTTAAAAGACAGAGTAAAAAAACAAAGCGATGAAGACAGAGTGAAGAAGAAGAAGGTATACGTGGATGGTTTTGATTGGAGGCTTGTTGATTCTCTTGAGATAGGCTTCGATTCGTCTGAGCTTCTGAACCTCTCTATGGGGTCTGAAAGTTTGGTTCTTCTGGTCGAAACCCGAGCCGAGTAACGCGTGAGGTTGAAGAGAGAGAAGAAGAAGAAAACCAACAACTTTGAATATCATATCATTAGATGAAGAAGAAGAAGACATCATAGATCGCAAATGTATGGATTGGTTTGTAATGAAATGGACAGTTTGTATTTGTCTCCTATTCTTGGTTTCCTTTTTTTATTTATTTATTTTTTGGTCTGAACAATTAAAGAACAAGAATATGACGAGGAAGAAGAAGAGGAATGAGAAAAGGGTTTAATCCCAATGTGAAGAGTGAAGACTAAGAGACAGAAGAAAACAGAGAGGAAGCAAACAAAACTTTGTTAGTTCAAGTTTCACTCTCTCTCTCTTGTTTTTTTTTT